AGGACAGAAAACTATCTAGTACGTGGTGGAAAGGCCCAGAAATGGAAATGATCTTGGCTCCTTCAGAGATCGACTAGATGATTAGCGAGCTAGAATGAGAGGGGACGGCCGATGGGTAAGTGGAGTGGACAGTGGGCAGGGCCGTGATGTTACTAGCTCTTCTGAACCTGCTCCTTTAGTCCTTCCCACCTCAGGACTTAATGGCCGTTTTATGCTTCCCATTGCTGAAGCTGAAAAACTTAGAGTCAACTTCTGCACTTTTCTTTCTCTTACATCCCGTAGCCAATTCATCTGCAAATACTATTTTCTCTCCCTTAAAAATACCCATCTGCTTCATGCCTCTGTCATCGCTACCAAACCTCCCTAATTTCTCACTGGAATAACTTGTTAACTACTGTCCCTGCTTTACTCTTTCCATCATCCTCATCTCTATAAAATTCAGAGCATCTTTTTTCTTTCTTTTTCTTTCTTTCTTTTTTTTTTTTTTTTTAGAGAGGGAGTGGGAAAGGGCGGAAAGAGGGGAGAGAGAATCTCAAGCAGGCTCCATACTCAGCACAGAGCCCACTGTGGGGCTCAGTCTTATCATGGCCTGAACAAAAATCAAGAGTCAAATGCTTAACCAACTGAGCTGCTCAGTTGGTTACCCCTCAGAGTATCTATCTGTCTATCTATCTATCTATCTATCTATCTATCTATTTATTTATTTATATTTATTGTTTCAGAGTATCCTTTTAAAACTTAGACTGTGTCATTCTTTTCTCAGAATCTTAAAGTTGTGTATGACCTCTCTCCTCCTAAAGCATCAAGTTCTTACCCAGTCACCGTAGCTTCTCTGACCTGACCCCTGGTTATGAGGAGCTTCCATCATCATCTCCTACTTTCCTCCCCTGTCACTTTGCTTTGGCTAAACACCTTGCTGCCACTCGTAGCTTAGGGCCTTGGTGTTTGCTGTTTCTCGGTCTAAAGCACTCCTCCCTCAGATCCAAGTGGCCCTGCACCATGGTACGTCTCTAACCCTCGATCTCAAATAGCATCCTTCACCACCCCATGTCCTTTACCTTTTTTTCTTCCTTAGTATTTATCAACTTTGGACCTTTTACTTATTTACTTCTTTTGTAATCTTCACTAGAACATAATAAGCTTCTTAGGACATGAAATTTCTAGGCAATTTATTGTTTTGTTCACTCCTGTATCCTCATGCCCAGAATAACATCTGCATGTAGGGGGTGATCAAAAATTTTTGTGGAATAAATGGATGACATTAATTGGATACAAATGTATATAGGATAATAAATTGGATGATGATAATATTGTGTTCTCTTTGTATTATTTATACCTTCTCAGAGGGTTGGAAAGGTATAGAATAGGAGATCTATGGTAAAAGGGGGAGTATTGGATGTTAGAGGAGGAAAAGTGTGAAATGTTCTGTTGTAGAGTAAGGAGCTCTGAGGGTCCCTTGAGATTAGGGGTCATAAATTAAAAAATGGGACTGGTCAAGATTGTTGTCCAGACACTTTAGTTCAGACACAGACATAGAGTAAAAGAAGAGTAGAGTTTAACCAATTTAAGGGTTTTACTTGGGGAGTCCAACAGAGAAAGATAAGAGCAAAAGGAGTTGGGGGAGATGCATATCAGTGCTTATCCTTTTTTAAAAAAAAGATTTTATTTACTTGTGAGAGACTCCGAGAGAGAGGCAGAGACACAGGTGGAGGGAGGAGCAGACTTCCTGTGGGGAGCCTGTTGGGGGACTCGATCCCGGGACCCTGGGACCTTTGGTCACGCCATGAGCCAAAGGCAGACACTCAACCACTGAGCCACCCAGGCGGCCCTATCAGTGCTTATCCTAATGGACCATGGAAACTAAGTAAGAACTAAAAAGACAGGAGGTAGAAGGCAGAAAGCAGGAGGTTTCAAATCAGTATTTTTGAAGTGGTACAATTGCTGGTAATGACAAGGCCTGGATATGGCCATGGGGATGGGTTACTAAGGGAGAGTGGAGGAGGAGATTGTTGGAATTGAAGAAATGACAAACTAGAGACAAGGATGTTGACAGGATCGTTCACATGAGAGTTGAAGTTGTTAAGAACGATGACAGGATCCGCGGTTGAGATGAAGTTGCTGAAATGTTCTGAGATCTGAGGATGCTTAGGAAGAGTAACAGAGATAGGAATAGGAGCAAAACAAAAAAGGGTGCAAGTTGGGCTGGCTGATGGCAGACATTTCAAGACAGCTGAGACTTTAGGAGGACAAGGGAGGAGAAACGGTTTAGACATAGCAGTGGGGACAGGAAGGCCACCTGTCCCCCCAGGCCCTGTGGTACATCTCCTATTGGGACAAAAACAAGACACCACTTGAGAAGACAATGAAAAAAGTAAGGTATCATGAGATGTCCAGATTTCCATCAGGTTAATATAAAAGGAATAATCAGATTTGGTTAAAATTAAATAGTTACGGGAGATACCAGGCTCTGTATTTTTATCTGTAAACCGCATTTGATTTTTACATGTTCAGACAGCAGTGCTTAGCTTTTAAATCTTTGTAGGCTAAAACTGTCATTCTTGAATTTAACAAAGTGCCAGCTGACAAGTCTTTTCACCAAGTATGTTGGTGCCAACATGTACTTGTTGATATGTCAGGAAACAGGATGCTAAATTAGGCAGAAGCTATGCAGAAGAGAACTGTTGTGAAAATTGAAAGACATTTGTCTGCTTATTTATTTATCTACTAATAATTTGTATTTTGCCATTTTACACAAAGTGTTTGAGGAGCACAGTCCTGTGCTTCACATCATGTTCTCTTGTCATGGCTCAAGCCACAAATAAGCCTAAGAAGCCAGAGAAAGAACAGAGAGACACACAAGGCTTATGGACTCAAACCCCGCAGAGAACATGAGACGAGGCTGAGCATCTGATGTGGAGATGGCACTGTACTTGCCTGAATCCTAGGAGTAGAGCAGTAGTCTCTGTTCATATAGGTTCCCCAACTCAGCAGAGTATTTAAAATCCCAGAGTCCAGATCTGGGCCACATCTGGAGTGCCCAAGTGGCTCAGGCCCACCACAATCTGCTGTTACAAAATCCCCTTCTCCTCCTCAGGTCCTTTCCTGCCTCTGCCTCCATCCATCATTCCCACAGTACAGAAACGGGTTTCCTTTTCTTTTCCTAAGTCCTCATTATGTCTTCTTCATGTATTTTTCAATCCTTTCTCCCTTCTTTTCTGTAACTTCTCAGCCCCAGGACAGGAGTATAACTTATGCTGTGTATCTTAATGAAGGGTTTATGTCTGATTAACTCTGTTTCAATGGTGGAGCCTTTTTATTTGATATTACTCTAGAATGACACCTTTTATCCATTTCTTTATCTCCTGCCATAGAGAAAGATAGTAAAATTGGGATTTCTTTCAACAATAAGGAATCTTAAGTTCCATGGACTTTTAAAACTGTACAAATCAGTATAACCACTTTTATTAAATTGTTTTATTTTCTTATGTGTAATCTTCAAGAAGTATGTTTTCTATTGAAAGTATTTCAGAAACCATTAAAATTATTAGATGCTTCAAAGGTGACTTTATGAGGATGAAGGGAGATATTTGGATATTTTGAACAATTTAAATAGAGGAGCTAAAATAGGTTTTAAGAAAAACCCCATGTACCCAGCCTATTTAAAATCAACAACTAGAATAATAAGACAATATAAATAGAAGACAAACCTTTTACTAATTAGCAATAAAAGGCAGTAAATTAGAGAGGCAGGACCATTATCCCATTTTTGTCAATCTGGCTTACCTTATGACAGATGAGCACTCAGGAACACACTGTGACAGGACAAACTCCTTTGGGCTTCAGCTTCCCTCTGTCCACCAGTCCTCCCCACCAGGAGAGCTGGAGTGCCCACTGTCTGCTTCATGCAGTTAGGCTAACTGGACACACAGCTGAAGCTTGTGGCCCTTCCAGCCACTTCTAGATTTGAGTGAGATAGAATACCTCATGAGGAGGATTATAGCATCAGAACTGCCACAGAGACCGGACGTGCAACCTAAACGTGTGGGAAAGTTAACACCAGAGGGCAGGATTGCACCTGTGGGCAACAGGAGAAGTAGCTTCCAAGGCGGGTGAAGTCTCCCTCCTTCCTGTGAACGTCTTCAAGGCGTGATGGCTTGGTGCGGCTCCTCTGGACGAGTGCTGTGTGCCAACTGTATGCACCTGCCCGTGTGACCTCCTTTTTCTTTACATCTCCTGTGCCACTGTAGGCAGTGTGCTGACTGCATATGTCACCCCCACCTTGCCGTACTTCCCCTTTTCCCTGTTTTCACGGCATCTTCCAAATAAAATATCAGAGTGTTTGTTGATCCTTGCCCTCACGTTTGTGTGCTGGGGAACCTGGGCTCAAATACATCCCCCAACTTAGAATTTAATAATATATGTTATGTGTTTTATAATTGTGAATTGTTAGTAACAAAAAACTACCATTCTTCAAGGTGTTTCGTAAATACTGAAGGTAATTTTATGGGTTTCAATTTTGTAATATTGATCTGTTGAAGCCATCTGTTGATGTCTGAAGATGCTAATTATAGTAGCACTTGGAAGCTAATTTCAGGTCACCGTAATGACTGTTCAGATAGCTGCCCAGTGATTTTTGTGGTGTGTTTGACAGTTATTTTCTAGAAAAACATCATTGATTCTGAGTGGCAGGGTCAGGGCTCAGTCCCTCTCCTGGCCTTTTGTGATGAGAGCAGTGATTTTTGAAAAAGAGGCTTGACAAGTTGTGACCCACATTGTAACTAGTTCTGCCTTATGTCTGAAGCAGAGAAGAAAGACCTACAACTAAAAAGGGGTGGAGGTGGGAGTGTTAGGAAAGAGACCAGAAACGCCGGAGAATGAGCCTCTTTGCCAATGACCTGATTCACCCAGGTGGTTAGTGCTGTTTCTGATTCTCTGCTGCAGTTAAGGTATTTCTAAGGTGAGAGTTCCTTTTACTTTCTCTCTCTCATTTTGCCTTCTAGGTGGACAAAAAAATTGTGAGAACTGAGATAGGAGTTCTTCTTCGCCTCTCACATCCAAACATTGTAAGTGGTTTTTAATCTACTATTTCAAATAATCCTCAAAGTTACAGAATGTGATCTTTGTTCTTTGTTGCCCATGCTGATAATGAGAAAGGGATTCTTCACCACCAGCAGGTAGCTGCTATCGCCTCCTCTCATCCTCATCTGATCACATTTTTCAGTTCTTTAGCTGAATAAATCTTAAAAATAATACCACTTGAAAGAGTTTCAAAATGGACGGATCAGCACTATATACCATCTTTGTTTTCATGCATAAAAGGATACCTAAAAATTGAAGAGTTTTGTTTCACTCTAATAAAACACTGGCTTTTTCCTTTTGTGTGCCTATCTTATTAATGTGCCATTGCTGAAAGAGCGGGTGAAGAAATGCATGGCTCTCCAAAATCATTTCAGTCTCCTTTGACTGGCTATCTACTTTAGAAACAATGTGAAGATTCAAATAAATGATGTACTTGAATGGGAAAAATAAAATGTCCTCAGAAGCTCTGCTCTAGGCTATGTCCAGACAAAGGCGCTGAGGAAAAGGTCTGGCAAAAGCTTTCTTGAGCCAGTGAAGTGAAGAGAACAAAATCATTTTCCAGGCCATAACTTGAATTGAGCCAACTACTTAAAGAAAATATTTTACTCGTTTCTTTGAGAAAGTCGTAGTGTCCAGGAGGATGACTAATCTGCAATGCTTAGTTAGGCTTAAAGCAAAGTTCTTAAGATGTAATATACGGGTTAGCAATGCAGTCAGCTATAAGTCATGGAAACTGGAATATGGCAGTCTAGACGAACACTTTATGTGACAATCAGAAGGCAGGCAGTTGGTAGCATTGCGTCAGCTCCTCGGTGGGTGATGCCATTCAGGGCCTAAATGTCTTCTCCCCTCAATGCTTTTCCTTTGTGGTCCTCAAGGGCCGCTCCACAGTCTTCACAAGTTGTCAGCCCATACCCTAGACAGAAAGAATTGGAAAGGCCTCGCCAACAATGTGATGAGAAGAATAGAGGCTTTTCCAGAATTTCCAGCTACAGCAGAATTCTCTCCAGACATTATTAGCCAGAGCTGGCCACATGATCATCACTCTTCACTGCACGGAGACTGGAAAATTGGGGAGGAGGATTATCGTAAACAGCTTAAACCAATCACGATCCATAATGTGAGGCTGGGTACTTTGCTTCCCTAAACAAAATCCATTTGCAGTAAAGAGCTTTGGTAAGCAATAAGCAAAATGGCACCAAAAAATCACCACTTTTACATTATCCATCTTTTTCTTTCAATGAAAAGCCAATGTGGATTTTTTCTCAAATGCAGATCAGTGCTGGTCACTAAATTTTTAGATATATTGAGGAAAATATTCAAAATTGAATGGATTTTCTGAATGTGATGAAAACCCTGTTACAGTCCATCAAATCCCTACCATCACTACTTTTCTGAGGATCCCTGCATCTGCTGGCAACATTTTTGCTATTGAGAGATATCCTTTCCATACAGACGGACTTTAACCTGGTCCCTCCTGTTCTGGCTTAGGTCTCTAATTCCAAGTTCCTTTTGAGGAGAAAGAGGCATTTGCATCACTAGTAACCATGATGCTTTCAAATGGCTCAAATTTTCTTTGCTTGCTTTTGCTTTTTAATTCTGAAGCAATTCAGAAATTGTGATGTTTTGGCAAAATTTAGGAAGTGTTTCTAAGGCAGGTATCTTTCAGCTGTGAAAAGGAAAAAATATAAAAACTCAAAAGGGTCTTTAAGAAATGAGATAACTGATACAAATAACCAGAGAGTGACAGATGGCTGCTTGTTACCTGGATGTGGAACCTTTATTGACGATCCAATGTATTACTGTTACAAGGAGTGTTGTTTAGTCATGGCGTTAGCTTTTCCTAGAAAAATGAAAATAAGGAACTTATGATGTATTTTTTAATATCTTTCCCCAGATAAAACTTAAAGAGATATTTGAAACCCCTACAGAAATCAGTCTGGTCCTAGAACTGGTCACGGGAGGAGAACTATTTGACAGGTGAGTTGGTCCTAGAAATCTAACCAGAGAAAGGTTATGCTTCCAGGTACTTCAAAAGTACCAAAGGGAAATTTCTCCTGCCAATTTTCATAATGACACATCATACCACTTGATAAGTTCTACTAAAATAAATCATAAGAGGATACACAATGGAGAGAGAGTGTTAGTTGATATGATATGGGTAGGTGAAATTTTGCCTTGCTTAGTAAAACACGAAACACTGTAGTATCAGTTTACTTTTGCAAATATTTACTTTCCCAATAAAAACAGATTTCTAAAGTCATTCTAAATTTAAGCTAAATAGTAGCATTTATGAGAATATTTCATGATAAAATATTTGATGAAATTTATAAAGTTAAATGTGTAGTAGTATTCTCTGTTAAGATCCAAAAGCTCATAAAAATCAATATTCTTCAGATAATTATTTTTAGACCTATGTTCTCTATTAAGTCGTTCTGAGTTCCAAGATGCAGAGTAAAACATGTTCTGTTAGGACCAGTTATAACCAGCTTTAGTTGTCTGATCATATGCTCATCACTCAAGGCAGAGTTTGAGGACGGTGGGGAGTATGCCTGAAAATCTGGTAGAGCACAGTATAGGCAAACAATATGTACAAGAGACACAACTGTCGCGTTTCTGTAGCTTTCCATTCTTCCTTGTTGTCCCAGGAGAATTCCCTGTTTACCTTGATGGACCCCTAGGAGCCCTTTTCTGTGCTCATCAGGGTAATCAAAAAAGATTGGAACTGGAAGAAGACAAAGTGACTAAGGAGGTACATATTGTAAATGGTTAGAAACTGCGCTGATACAAGCTTCATGTTGGTTAAGAATGGGTTAAGAGAGAAGTAGGCTGCAGAGAGAAGACGGGAAAGATTGAAGGACTGCGATGAAGCCTGAGTGTCTGGAGCACAATAAATTCTCAATAGATGTTTGCTGAAAGAATGAGCACCGCTCTACTGAATGGACTCAGGAGGGAGAGTCTGCAGGGGATAGGGTTAGAGCGTGCTAGGAAAGGAGGAAAGGAGCACCCCTCCCCATCCGTCCCCCCCTTCAAAGGTATTCATGATGGTTTTCAAAGGTTCTGTTTGTTTTTACTGTTACCCAGTGTAGATTTGGATCTTCAGATCGCAAGGAGTAAAATGATCCAGTTTGATCAGAGCTACATATGTATCTTCAACAGATAGACGGTTTTGTTCATACATTCATTGACATTTTCTTAGAACAAGTTATGTGAATTATCAGACTTTAAAAACTGTAACATTGGGGATCCCTGGGTGGCTCAGTGGTTTGGCGCCTGCCATCAGCCCAGGGCGTGATCCTGGAGACCCGGGATGGAGTCCCATGTCGGGCTCCCTGCGTGGAACCTGCTCCTCCCTCTGCCTGTGTCTCTGCCTCTCTCTCTCTGTGTCTTTCATGAATAAATAAATAAAATCTTAAAAAAAAAGAATAGTAACTAAGAAAGTAGCATGCAAAATGCTAAAAAAAACCCTAACATTTTAACTCTATCCATACTTTTTTTATAGATTTTATTTTATTTATTCATAGAGACAGAGAGAGAGAGAGAGTGAGGCAGAGACACAGGCAGAGGGAGAAGCAGGCACCACACAGAGAGCCTGACGTGGGACTGGATCCCAGGTCTCCAGGATCACGCCCTGGGCTGCAGGCAGCGCTAAACCGCTGCGCACCGGGGCTGCCCTTAACTGTATCCATACTTGACAAATAATGAATCAACTTTGGGAAGTGAATATCAGTAGCCTAAAGACATGAACTTCTTGTGGCAGTTCGGTAGTCGTTTGGATTCATGGTTCGAAGTCTTGACTTAAAGGCAAATACTTAACCTAGAGTGATTTGCTTACCTTTCTGAAACTCAGAACAAATTTGAAGTGATTCTATGCTGCTAGGGAAGCTGAGACACCCTGATCCACCGTAAGAATAGTCTTGTTCTAAGACCATCATGTTATGTTCCCTTATGGTTAGTGAAGACTCTTCTAGACTAATTTACTTAAATGTTACCAGAATTGGCCAAAATGGCTTCTTTTTCAACAACTCTATAGCTAACTCTTTCATAGACATGTTATATAGTTATGCCTTTGGAGCCGTGAGGTCTCTCTAAGGAGAACTAACATATTTCTCTGCTAATTACAGTCTATTGGAGACAAATACCATGTACTTCCATTGTAAATAACTGCAGGACAGGAATGTCACACCAAAGCCATCATCTACCAATAGCATTTACTATTTACTCACCTCTATTTGTTTGAATTATTTTGGAAGAAAGTCTCTTTCCATCCCTCTCCAACCCTTTTTTTCATGAAAAGATTCTTATTCTCTCATCTTGTAGTTTAGTTGATATAATGGAACAGGTAAAAATGAAAAACTAAATACTGTTGATAAATTTCATTTACAGAGATAAATGGATGAAATATTCAGATTTAACAGAAGACATAAAGAATGGCAGACAGCCAGTAAAGCACTCAATCACTTAAAAACTCGTAGTGGTCTTAGATCATAGACTTTATTCCTCCTGAAAGTTATTATCCACGTATCTGTTGCAATATCTGAGATGGATTTGGTTTCTCCATTAGATTATTTAATTCTATAGTTATCTTTAAAATTGTATCAAGCTGAAAATATGTCCTGCATTATTATCCATGTATTGCTTTCATTCTTGAGGGTTACAAATCATAATATGGTCCCTTTTTCCTGTACTTAGGTCAAAACCAAATTCATTTAATTGTGATGATCAAAATTCATTCCTGTTTGAATGATGACGTTTATTGTTTCTAATGAATGAAATAATGGAGCAATTGATGAAGAAATAATTATGTTCGTCTAATATAGTCAAAATGGTTGTATTTTATTAGCAAAAAATCTATTCCATGGTGCTTCTAAAAAACTAAGCATAGTAAAAATCCAAGTGGAATCTGCTGTTTCATGTAGAATATAAATAGGAAAGTGCATAGGACAATTGATTAAAATTTTTGGAATAAAGCCAGTGATTATTTTGTGTCGAAGAAAAGCTCCAGAGGTTTTCTGTTTCATCCTTCTCAATCACAACATAATTCTTAGAAATTCACTGCATTTTTTTTAGTGGCCATAATGTGAGGTTATTTGCCTTAAGAATAAATTTTCTTTTCTTTCTTTTATTCCAGAAAACAATTATATTTTATTATATTTTATTATTTATTTATTTATTTATTTATTTATTTATTTATTTTTGTTTTTTATTGGAGTTCAATTTGCCAACATACAGCATAACATCCAGTGCTCATCCCATCAAGTGCCCCCCTCAGTGCCCGTCACCCAGTCACCCCCACCCCCCACCCTCCTCCCTTTCCACCACCCCTTGTTCGTTTCCCAGAGTTAGGAGTCTTCCATGTTCTCTGTCCCTTTCTGATATTTCCTACCCATTTCTTCTTCCTTCCCCTTTATTCCCTTTCACTATTATATTCCCCAAATGAATGAGACCATATAATGTTTGTCCTCCGATTGACTTACTTCACTCAGCATAATACCCTCCAGTTCCATCCACGTCAAAGCAAATGGTGAGTATTTGTCGTTTCTAATGGCTGAGGACTATCCCATTGTATACAGAGACCACATCTTTATTCATCATCTGTCGATGGACACCAAGGCTCCTTCCACAGTTTGGCTGTTGTGGACGTTGCTTCTATAAACATCAGGGTGCAGGGGGCCCCGCGTTTCACTGCATCTGTATCTTTGGGGTAAATCCCCAGCAGTGCAGTTGCTGGGCCATAGGGCAGATCTATTTTTAACTCTTTGAGGAACCTCCACACAGTTTTCCAGAGTGGCTGCACCAGGTCACCTTCCCACCAACTGTGTAAGAGGGTTCCCTTTTCTCCGCATCCTCTCCAACATTTGTGGTTTCCTGTTTTGTTAATTTTCCCCATTCTCACTGGTGTGAGGTGGGATCTCATTGTGGTTTTGATTTATATTTCCCTGATGGCAAGTGATGCGGAGCATTTTCTCATGTGCTTGTTGGCCACATGTATGTCTTTGGTGAAATTTCTGTTCATGACTTTTGCCCATTTCATGATGGGTTGTTTGTTTCTTTGCTGTTAAATTTAATAAGTTCTTTATCCTTTATCTGATAAGTCATTTGCAAATATCTTCTCCCATTCTGTAGGTCGTCTTTTAGTTTTGTTGATGGTATCTTTTACTGTGCAAAAGCTTCTTCTCTTAATGAAGTCCCAATAGTTCATTTTTGCTTCTGTTTCTCTTGCCTTCATGGATGTATCTTGCAAGAAGTTGCTGTGGCCGAGTTCAAAAAGGGTGTTTCCTGTGTTCTCCTCTAGGATTTTGATGGAATCTTGTCTCACATTAAGATCTTTTATCCATTTTGAGTTTATCTTTGTGTCTGGTGTAAGAGAATGGTCCAGTTTCATTCTTCTGCATGTGGATGTCCAATTTTCCCAGCACCATTTATTGAAGAGACTGTCTTTTTTCCAGTGGATGGTCTCTCCTCCTTTGTCGAATATTAGTTGACCATAAAGTTAAACGTCTACTTCTGGATTCTCTACTCTGTTCCATTGATCTATGTGTCTATTTTTGTGCCAGTACCACACTGTCTTGATGACCACAGCTTTGTAGTACAACCTGAAATCTGGCATTGTGATGCCCCCAGCTATGGTTTTCTTTTTTAATTTTTTTTTTAATTTACGATAGTCATACAGAGCGAGAGAGAGGCAGAGACACAGGCAGAGGGAGAAGCAGGCTCCATGCACCGGGAGCCTGACGTGGGCTTCGATCCCGGGTCTCCAGTATCGCGCCCTGGGCCAAAGGCAGGCGCCAAACCGCTGCGCCACCCAGGGATCCCTGGTTTTCTTTTTTAATATTCCCCTGGCTATTCGGGGTCTTTTTTGATTCCACACAAATCTTAAGATAATTTGTTGCAACTCTCTGAAGAAAGTCCATGGTATTTTTATAGGGATTGCATTAAATGTGTAAATTGCCCTGGGTAGCACGGACAGTTTGACAATA